ATGTAGCAAAACAATTTTTTTAATAAATATGTAGGCCTCGTTCGTTTCACTGATTCGAGTTTAGAATTCGAGTTGAGATGTGATTTTATGTGAGAGGTTTTTACTGTAGCAAAAAAGTTAGATGTGACTGTTTGTGAGAGTTTTTTACTGTAGCAAAAGTCGAATTCTAAACTCAAATTAGCGAAACGAACGAGATCTCTTAGATAATTAAATACCTTGACGTTTTGATAATATAATATCACCATGTTTATATTTATAGGTTGATACTATGATTTTATGTGTAAAATAACTATATTAAGAATATCAATAGTGATGCAGGCGTGCGGCCCCACTTAGATTTTAGAAATTTAATATTTACTCCTAAAGTTATCTAAAAATTTCAGTTGTGTCTTCATTTTATAAGTTGACCCATTAAAAAATTGAAATATATGTAATCACAAAATAATTGAGAAAGTTAAAATTAACATTCAATTTTCTCTTTCCTTACGTCATATGAACGCTACTAAATTACGTCGTGTGAACCCTACCTGTAAAGTAAATATTGTAGAAGTAGAAATCATGATGTGCCCAAGAATTTACAATATTGAATTTGATGTTATGAGAGAGAATATATTACTCGTTAATTAAGGTACACTTGTTAAGAATTTACGCGTTTGAAACTCGTTCTAAAATAATTTTAATTTTTATATAAAAATAAAAATAAAAATATTTTTAATCTCAGACATAAATTATTTTTAAAAATGAATCTGATAGTTTTATCAAGAGATTATTTTCAATGTAAAAAAAACTCATTAATATCTTTCTTTCTCTCTCTCTCTCTACTCGAGAAATGAGAAAATAAAAATAAAAAATAAAAAACGACTAAAAGTCATTTTTTATTTCTCTCTTATTTTACACTAAACTAAAAAATTATTTTTATTTTTATTAGGTCAAACACTGTTTTAAAAATATTTTTATTTTTTCTTTTTCAAAAAACGGATCAATTCTAAACGTGGCATACGGTTCAAAAACCTATTCAAAGCATAAGTAATTAGTAATTACCAATACCACATGTTAAAGTGCATATATTCTGACCGCTAACTTGGTAACCTCCTATAGGGACACCCAAATAAATATCCAAAATAGTCGGTGATCAAGCCCCTCCTTATCCTTCTAAAACCAAAAAATAAAAAAAATAAAATTAAATCTTACAGTGTCAAGTAACCAACCCTTCTTATCCTTTTATCGGTATTTTATTATTATTATTATTATTATTATTATTATTATTTTGCTTTTTATTCCTTGTGGTCCTACATTTGCTTTTTTACTTTGTTTAAAGTTTGGTTAACTTGAACATTTGCCTAATTACAACAAAAATTCTAGCATATTGCTGATGGCATTGATGAATTATTATGGACTTTATTGTGGAGAGACTTGATTATACTATAACTATATATATATATATATATATAAGATTTAATAATAAAATTTACGATAATATCTTTTGTTTTTCAATTGTAGCTTGTACGTAGTTGCCTCATAGACACCATTATTAATTAATAATCCAACAATAACATTAAATAGCATTCTTAGCGGCTTCGACTTTGCTATAGTAAATGGAATAACATTTAACAATGTAGCTAGGGATTTCTTTTTTTAAAGTCGCACGTAAAAAAAAAATAAAAAAAAATAAAAAAAGGACATAACTACAACTGATATTTAAGAGATTAATTAACTACCACCTAACCTGGTGTAATAATAGACCTCAACTCCAATATGGTTCTACTTTCACCAAAAAATAAAAATAAAATAAAAAAAGTTCTACAGATACCATTAATATACGCGGTTTTTTCGTAAGGTTCATTTCAATTATAGTGTCGGAGTCAGAATTTGTTTTTTTTTTTTTTTTTTTTTTTTTTTTTTTTTTTTTTTCTTCAAAGAAGTGTAGATTAAGCAAAAATTTATTGAACTTAAAAATCTACACTTTTTTCTCATTTTTATTATGTCTTTTTTTTTTCTCTTTTACCTTTTATTTATCTAATTGTATCTTTCTCTGTTCTTGCATGAACTTTGTAATCTAATAATTTAATCCAATTTAAAAAGTCCAAAAATTATGAATTTAAATAGCAATGTAGCTGAATATTGGTCCATTTAGTGTTTTGAGCTTGAAATAATAAGTATATTTAGAAGTGAAATTGTGGGATTCAGTTGAAGCTTTTAAAAAATTTCCATGCAAATTGTGTAATTACAAAATTTTATTGGGGCCAAAACTAGGAGAAAATATGTAAGAAAGACTTTTAAAAAGGGGCTTCTTAGATGTTCATAGAAATATTCACTGAATACTCTATGGATAGGCTCAATCCTTATAAAATAGCCAATAAAGGTTCCACTGTTCATTTTTTGTCATCAAATACAATGGTTTGATGCTTCCCTTCTTTTTTTATTAATTTTTTCAACAATTTTTTTGCCTTTATTTCTTTTGCTTTGCTTTTTTTTTTTTTTCTTTTTGCGTCCATTTGTCTCATAATCTTTTTATTTCTTTAAATTTTTCATCATTTTTCCGGCTTCACATTTTTTTTCTTTGTTTGTGTATCTATTTGTCTGTTATTGTATTTTACAATTGGTGATTTACCCCTTTCTTACCTTTTTTTTCCTCTTTCGATGCTTTATTTTTTCTTTTTCTTTGTCTTCCTTTTCTTTCTTTTTGACTCTATTTGTCTACTAAAATCAAAATTTTACTTCATTAATAAAATATATAGTTTTGACTCAATAATTAATAAATTGACTATTTTCAGATAAAATCTAACACAATATATAATAATTATGTCACCAGTCTAAATCTTATTTTAGAATCTAACACAATATATAATAATGATGTCACCGGTCTAAATCTTATTTTTTTTCTTTAAAATGGATCTATTTGTTTCTCTTATTATTTTATAGCCTGCTATATTATATTGCACTACATTTTGTCTAAAATAATAAATCTTTTAGTAAAGAAGTAAACTTTTTCTTATATTTATTCTTTTTCTCCCCTCAGTTTCTTTCACTTTGCCCCTCATTTTTTAACTTTTTATTTTCTTTCTAATTTTATTCTTTATCTTTTTTTGTTTGTTTCTATTTTAATTTTTTATTTATTTCTTTTTTAACTCTATTTGTCTATGGATATCTCTTAGAATCAAGGCTATACTTTTCTTTCTTTCTGCTTTCTTCTTTTTTTTTTTTTGACACTTTATGTTAATATTTCCCTAATTTTTCTCTATTTGTTCGTCTTTTACTCTCTATTTCAATTTTATCGCTCTCTCTCGTAGATTTTTTAGACCTCGAATCTCAACTTTCTCATCATAATAAGAAGTCAATTTATTTTTAAAAATAATTTTGTTATCTTATAGTTTAGAGAATCATATAAGCTTTTCAGTCTCTATTTTTTTTAGTAAACATTTCTTATCTACACATTATTGTTCACATTCTACACAGTATTAAAATTTCAATTACAAATCAATATGTGCGTCCTATGTACAAAAATTAGTGTGTGTCTATATAATACAATCATGGTGCCGTTAGTATATTTAGGCCCGTTTAGTTCACTGATTCGAGTTGAGATGTGACTTTATGTGAGAGTTTTTAACTATCATAAAAAAGTTAGATACGACTGTTTTTGAGAGCTTTTTACTGTAGCAAAACTCAAATTCTAAACTCAAATCGGTGAAACTCAAAAAAATTAAATGTGACTGTTTCTGAGAGCTTATTCCGTTGCGTATTTTGTTTACAACAAGTTCAGCCCTTTCTGAACTTCTAGAAACCATTTGCCTTCAAACATTGCACATCATTATTTGACATAAGCCAATGATAAGTTCCTGGCTCATTGTAATGGACTTTTCTAATGATCTAATCAAGCAAGTTTGCTCTTTTGAACTTCTAAAGTGACATTATTTTTCTCTGTATTGTTCTAGATTTATAAAAAGTCCAAAGGGGTAAATACGTACGTATGTTCATATTATACCATTCTATAATTATAATTTGCACCGGAACCCTTTGATTTTGGCACTTTTTTCAAATAAATATTTCAAGAATTTAGCGTCAGAGACCTTTTCGTACAAGACCTTCCATTTTCCCTAATTTTGAAATTTCAAAGAAGCTGAGAGATCAAGAATTAAGCACGTAGCATTTGTCGGTATGTCATTCAAATTTTTATCCCAACAAGTGCATGAAGAAATCCTCCTTATTCTCTCGAAATAAAAATAATCTAACTTATTTGTTTAGCATAACAAATTATTTGTCATATAAGTCTTGATATTATTAGAGGATATATAATTTTAGCATTCGCTATGAAAACAAAGTTTGTTTTTATTAAAAAAAAACCAAACATTAGATTATGTCAAATTTTTTTTAAAGTCAGATACCGTAAATTCATCTTAGGTTTGCCTAGTTCGCTACCGTTATTAGTAATTTTCTCCATAATTCATAAATTGGAATAGAAGGATAATGAGATGCTCCTATAATTTAGGATCATAAGCAAAATTCTTTTCATAAAAAAAAGGTTCTTTTACCGTAAAATCCTCTATATTTAAAATCACATTAAAATTAAATATAAATAAAATAGATAATTTTTAATACATATTTAATGGTTAAAGTAGAAAATTGTCTATGATTCATTTTTTTAAAACCTACTTTATAAAATGTCTAAAAAAAGAAATGATTGTCTTTGATAGACCGTTTTATTAATATGATTAGTTTTCTGATTGTTTAACTTGATTAAAATTAAATGAGGTTGAAAAAATATTCAGAACAAATATTTTTTAATGTAAATTTGAAAGGTGAAAACGACTAAAAAAATAAAATAGTCAGGTAGTCGAGAGCTCCACAATCCCGAATAAACATTTCCACGTGCTAGCCTCTCACACTCACGTGACCAGTCGTTGGTGACGTCGTGGTCCACCGTGTCATATCTGCCACGTGGAAAAAGCCAAGTATATAGATAAATTTTTTCTCATCGACCTCATCACTGTAAATGTGACCAAACCTCTCCCACCTTCTTCTCCGTGAACAACGGTCCCAAGCTAAAAGAAGAGAAGAGAGAGAAACAGACAAAAACAAAATTTAAAAAAAAAAAGAGAGATTTAGAGAGAGAAACTCTGACGCAGCTAGAGAGAGGCTTTTCCCGGAAAGCTGAAGAAATTCCTGGAAAGTTCTTGGAGAAAGAAAGAGAAATGGCAACGCCGTTAGCGGGGTTGCAACACAGGGACGGAGGTGGAGGAGTGGCGGTGCTCTCGAATTCCGTCAACAAGGTCGATTCTTCTCCGCCTTCGCCTTCGACTTCGTCGGTGAATGGTTGCTTGAAGAGCTCGGCGCAGAAATCTCCGCTTTTGATTTTCTTGCTGTTTCACAAGGCGATTCGCAAGGAGCTCGATGCGCTTCACCGATTGGCCATGGCGTTCGCCACCGGCGAGCGCACTGACATCGGTCCGCTGCTCGAGCGCTACCATTTCCTCAGGTCGATTTACAAGCACCACTCCAATGCCGAAGACGAGGTCTCGCTTTAATCCATTCACTTTTGTTTCATTTGTTTTCGTTTTCTGGCGTGTTTGGTTTCTAAGAAAAATTGAAGAAAGGAATTTCATTTCGAACATTATAATCGTTCCGCACAACTTCTCAATTGTGAGAGATGGGGAAGAAGCTTCGTGTGTAAATAATGGTGGAGTGCTCCTGTGTAATTTAGGATAACGTAAAAAATTCCCATTTATATTCTTTTCAGTATATTTGACCAGTTTCTATGTGTTTTCTTCTATTTCCTTAGCTGAGTAACGGTTTTAAATCTTTAATGTCACTCTTCAGTAAATTCCTTTGCACAAGCTCTTGTCTTCCCCTAAACGTTAATAGAGAAAGGAAAAGTAATAGAAAAGTGTTCTATGCACTTCATTTTCTTTCAAGAATTTATGCTTCTTTTTTCACTAATTTCTCGTTGTTCTTCGAGAAATTCATATTTCTTTGTGTCTCCCCTATTTCAATGACCAGAGGAAAGTAGAAAAATAAGGGGAAAGGAAAGTGCCTTTAATTAGTGGCTCCCAATCCTTTTGAAAGCTCGACGAAAAAGTCCCCTTCTTGGGTAATTATGTCTATTCTTTTTTTCATTTAGGATGAACATGGGTGGGTTCTGAGGGGATATTTAAGGTTTGACTGTTGGAGAATTATTGTTGGCAAGTTTGGGTTATTGATCTTCGATGACAATGACATAATTTATCCCCAAAACTTGTTTGGTCCACTTAGCTGCAGTTTCAGATTTTGAACTGCCTTTTGTATGTTGGTTTTCACTGCATTTAACTGATACTCGGAAAATTAAAGGCAGTAATGACATATTGAACAATCGTAGTGATTTGGGACTTTGAAGTATCTATATTGGGTTCCTCTGTGCTATGAAATTTCAATAGTGTTATAAACAGTAGTTGGTATTTAAGACCTAGAAATATCTCTTTTTAAGTGGCTACACTCTGCCACTTTCTACAAGAAGTTTCCTCAGTAAAAGGTCTTAAACATATGAGAAATGACCGTCAAGATTACTTTTTCTTGTAATAATAAGCTCTTGCCCATTTTCTTTTTTAAATATTAATTGATGCTTTGGAAATACAGATTAATCACCTGATTTTCTCCTTCTGATATATTGCTATATCATAAAAATCTTGTTCTCTAAGTAGCCACTTAAAGACGTGTTATTATGTCTATTTTTTTTTTTTCATGTCTACTTTTGCCATTACAGTGATACTTTGCAACTGCAGGTAATCTTTCCAGCTCTTGATATTCGTGTGAAGAATGTAGCACAAACATACTCCCTCGAACACAAGGGCGAAAGCAATCTTTTTGATAACCTATTTGAACTGCTAAATTCTAAAACGCAAAATGATGAAAGTTTCCCAAGGGAGTTAGCTTCGTGTACAGGAGCTCTACAGACATCAGTTAGCCAGCACATGGCTAAGGAAGAGGAGCAGGTGCTGCTTTATATTCCATTATTTGTGTTCTTGTCTATTTATTCAGGACTCTTATTGAGCAAAATCTTAAACCATAATGGAGATTCTGTGGTTTGCTATCTCATCTCAGTAGACATTTTCTTAACTTTTTGATCTTGCCGTCTTTCCCAAAAGGTTTCTTTTGTGTCCTCTGATATCTGGAAATTATTCACTTTTCTTTGCCAGGTCTTTCCCTTGCTTGTTGAGAAGTTTTCGCCTGAAGAGCAGGCATCTTTAGTATGGCAATTTTTGTGCAGTATTCCGGTAAACATGATGGCTGAGTTCCTTCCATGGCTCTCATCATCAATTTCACCTGAAGAATATCAGGATTTGCGTAAATGTTTAAAAAAGATAATCCCAGAGGAAAAGCTCCTCCAACAGGTTAGGTTTGACCTTATTTTATTAAGTTTTTCTGGTTATGTTTTTCCCAGTACAGAGATCTAATTAAACTTCTTGTTTATTAAAGGTAATATTTACCTGGATGGAGGGGAGAAGCAGCGTCAACATGTTGAAGAGTTGTCATGATGATCCTCAAATTCAATGTTGTAGTAATTCTGGTTGTAGCACGTTGGCAGATAGCATGGATGAAGCACAACGTGCATGTGAGTGCAGGACCGGAAAAAGGAAATATTTGGAATCAAGGATGGATTTTTCTGATACCAACGGGACCCATCCTATTAATGAGATATTGCTCTGGCATAAAGCTATTAAGAGGGAGTTGAATGAGATAGCCAAGCATGCGAGGAAGATCCAACGTTCTGGAGATTTTACAAATTTATCAGATTTCAATAGTAGATTGCATTTCATTGCTGAAGTTTGCATCTTTCACAGGTACCCTTATTGTTCTATCATGTGTGTGGTTGATAGAATGCAAGTTTCCTCTTCTTTTAGAGGGTGTGCAAAATACGAAAGATTCATTAGTCCAATTGTAGTCGCTAGTTATTTCTCCCAGTATTTAGTGCGTCAATAGGGTAGGTAATTTTTATTTAGGTATCAATGATCCCACACACACACACACACACAGATATATATATATATATATATATGTGTGTGTGTGTGTGTGTGTGTGTGTGTGTGTATTCTTTTTTGTATTCCACATATGAAATTGTTTGTATAACTAGGTGTATTAGAAAAGAAAGCAATCATCATTCTCTAAGCGTGTCAGCAAACCACCATTGGTGGTGGCATAGCAGCAAGGGATGATTGCTCCATGGCTCTCTCCCCCATCCATCAGAGGTTCGATTTGTGACATCCACACCAAGTCCTATGAAATTGTGAGGTTGTGCGTTTGACATGATTGGACCTCTAAGGATTGCAGGCAAGAGCGTGGACTGATCCTCTTTCTATTCCACCTATGGTTCTAGTAGATTCCAAGTGGCGCTTGGTGGAGGTGTGAGCACAACATCGATCCTATTTTGAGGAGAGAAAAAAAAAAACCATCCGTTGGGTGGATTATCAGTTATCCCAAGTTTTCCATGTATTCCACAAATGAATTCTCTGTATAACCGATGTATTATAAACAAAGCAATCTTCATTCTCTACTAGGACTAATAATCACTATGATTACGGTATTCACCTTCCAAAAATAAAAATATGAAGCTATACTTTTGCTCTAACTTAAAGATTACAACTCAAGCTCTATTGTGAGGAAAATGATATATTTTGCGTCATCCATCAGAAAAAATAAAAAATATATACATATATATGTGTGTATATATATATATATATATATTTCAATCTGAGTATTGATTGCTGTTCTGGTCACCAGTATTGCTGAGGACAAGGTCATATTTCCAGCGGTAGATGGAGAGCTTTCTTTCTTCCAGGAGCATGCCGAAGAGGAAAGTCAGTTCAATGAGTTTAGATCCTTAATTGAAACCATTCAAAATGCGGGAGCAATCTCTACTTCGGAAGCTGAATTTTATGCAAAGCTGTGCTCACATGCTGATCAAATAATGGAATCCATACAGAGGCATTTCAATAACGAGGAAGTTCAGGTGATATGTCCTTTTTATTCAATTAATTGATTATGGGTCTGCAGCAGTAATACTAACTGCAGAGTTTACTAAAACAAAAAAAAAAAGGGAGAGTTTTAGCGGTTATTTGGGTGATAGTGCAAAGAAAGCCATGTAGGTATATAAGAAGTTGATGAATCATATCTTATATGTTTATTTTTGACTGGATATTGTATTAGAAATTATATGGCGACGCCTCCACTTTTAGTTGGTTTTGACGACTCGAACTTGTAATGATCCTTTTAATTCCTAAAAGCATCAATTAACTCTTAGCATCTCTAGGTTCTTCCCCTTGCGAGAAAGCACTTCAGCTTCAAAAAACAACGGGAGCTTTTGTATCAAAGCTTATGCATGATGCCATTAAAGCTGATTGAATGCGTCTTACCATGGCTAGTGCGATCACTGACGGAAGAGGAAATAAAAAAAATTCTGAGAAACATTCAATTGGCAGGTCCTATATCAGTGCCTTATGTGGTTAACTATTGAATGATTATTACTTCTTGCTAAATTCTCTCATGTGTTTCATCTCTAACAGTATCAAATTCTGTCATTCAGCTCCAGCTGCAGATTCTGCTTTGGTAACACTTTTTTCTGGTTGGGCTTGCAAGGCTCGTAACCAAGGTTTATGTTTGTCTTCAAGAGCCATTGGTTGCTGTCCTGTTAAAAGGTTAAATGATATTGAAGAGCATCTCGTTCGATCAGTTTGCCCTTGTGCATCTGCATTGTCTGCGAAAGATATCCTGATGTCTGCTCAACCAGATGATGCTGAAAGGCCAGTTAAACGAAATGTCACTGAATCACGGAATGATAGTGATTCTCCTTGCACGTCAGAGACTGCAAATGACCAGAAACAATGTTGTAGTGAGCAATCTTGTCACGTCCCTGGATTAGGAGTCAATAGCAATAATCTAGGGTTAAGTTCTATTTTTGCAGCAAAGTCTTTGCGTTCCTTGTCTTTCAGCTCTTCTGCTCCTTCTCTGGACTCCAGTCTTTTTATATGGGAGACAGATAATGGCTCTTTTGATACTGGCTGTGGAGAACGACCAATTGATACTATTTTTAAGTTTCATAAAGCTATACGTAAAGACTTGGAGTATTTAGACGTTGAATCTGGAAAGCTTAGTGATTGTGATGAGACATTCCTTCGGCAGTTCATTGGAAGGTTTCGTCTTCTTTGGGGCTTATACAGAGCACATAGTAATGCTGAGGATGATATAGTCTTTCCTGCACTGGAATCCAAGGAGGCCCTTCATAACGTGAGTCACTCATACACTCTAGACCATAAACAGGAGGAAAGACTTTTTGAAGATATTGCACGTGTTCTTTCTGAGCTTTCACATCTTCATGAAAGCTTGCAGAAGGAAAAATTCGACGGGGATTCATGTCAAAGTAGTGATGAATTTTCAGCTGCCCACAGAATTGACTGTACCAGAAAGTATAGTGAGCTATCTACTAAGCTGCAAGGGATGTGCAAATCCATTAAAGTAACACTGGATCATCATATATTCAGAGAAGAACTTGAGTTGTGGCCATTATTCGGCAAGCATTTTACTGTTGATGAGCAAGACAAGATAGTTGGCCGTATAATTGGCACTACAGGTGCTGAAGTGCTGCAATCAATGTTGCCCTGGGTAACATCTGCACTTACTCAGGATGAACAGAATAAGATGATGGACACCTGGAAACAGGCAACAAAAAATACAATGTTCAATGAGTGGCTAAATGAATGTTGGAAAGGAGCTCCAGAATCACCATCATATACAGAATCATCAGAAGCTAGTGTTCCTCAAAAAGGTTTGTGTCATATTTTGTATTTTGCCTTGTTGGATAGACTACTTTGCATTGCTTTTAAATGCGTTAGGGTTTTGGGGAGATCTATTATATATATATATATATACACATATTTAATTATTATTATTTATGAAGATAAAGGACAACAGAAAAAACTTGGATCTTGATATCGACAAATTAAGTCAACATGAATGCCTGTATATTTATTAGTTTTCTTCTTGATGATGTAATTAGTTTGTTGTTATGGTTTGTTATTTTGTTGAAAAGAAAAATTTTAAACTTCAACTCCATTTTTGATGTGCTGTGCAATTTTTTTGGAAAGAAAATTGTTACTTATTTCAGCTATATTTTTGTTCTAGGTAATGATTTTCAGGAAAGCTTGGACCAGAGTGATCAGATGTTCAAGCCTGGTTGGAAAGATATCTTCCGTATGAATCAAAATGAGCTTGAGTCAGAGATTAGAAAGGTTTATCGTGATTTGACTCTTGATCCAAGAAGAAAAGCATATCTTGTGCAGAATCTTATGACGAGGTTAGTTTTGATGATAGCACTTTTCCAAGCGTTGTTTGATTGATTTATTTATCTGTCATTTGATACAGTCAGCTATTGAATTGATTAAAACTGTTTTATTCCATGTCATTAATCCATAATTGTTAATGAATTACTTGTTTGTTTAGTCGCTGGATAGCTGCCCAGCAGAAGTTACCCAAAGCTGCAGGAGAAACTTCTAACTGTGAAGATGTAGCAGGGCGCTCACCATCGTTTTGTGATCCAGATAAAAAATCGTTTGGCTGTGAACACTACAAAAGAAACTGCAAGCTTCTTGCTGCTTGCTGTGGCAAGTTGTTTACTTGTAGATTTTGCCATGACAATGTGAGCGATCACTCAATGGATAGGTGAGTTTCTGATGTAAGTTCTTTTATTTCATGTTGTGCCATTGTATTTCTGAATACCCTTTGGACAAATTTCAGGAAAGCGACAACAGAAATGATGTGCATGCGCTGCCTTAAGATTCAGGCAGTTGGACCAACGTGCACAACACCCTCATGCAATGGGCTCTCCATGGCACAATATTACTGCAGCATATGCAAATTTTTTGATGATGAAAGGTAGAGTCTGTCTTTATGTTCAAAATTTTGGAATCATTAGTTGTCACCTATAGTAATTTGTTGCCGCATCTTTTGCTTTTAATAATCTTGCATTGTGTCCATCGTAATTTTGTGAAGGTTATAAAAGTAACCTTGCCATTAATTGCATTTTGTTTTTTGGGTGTACTTAATAAGTGTGCTACATTTTGTTTTTGTTCACACAAATTGTCTTTGTATGGTGTTGTGTAGTGTACCTGGGTTTAATTCGTTGCATATTTGACTATTTGTCGCACATGCAGACGCTCTTGTATGCTAATTAAGCTAACTCCTATGTCCTTAACTACCGAAATGTGTTGTATTTATGTTTCAAGGTGTGAAATAGAAAGGTAGGTCTGACAAAGCGTTAATTACCAAAAAGTCCCACACAGAATAATTATAAGATGATCAGTGGGTTTATAAGCTCTTGGGTCCCCTCTCCTTGCAAGATGGTTTTCAAGGGTGAGTTCTACCTAATGTGTTCGTGACACAGTTATTACAGTCACTAGCTATCAGATTTGCTAGACAACGGAAGTCACGGATCAATTATATAACATTGATAACCGCACACATTGTAACTGTAGTCTTATATGAGACAAAACTGAGCTGCATGTTTTATGTTTTGTTTCTAAATCCTCCTTTAGATTTTTGTACTTGGCAAGTTTTCCGTTCTAACTTTTGATCTCTTTTCAGGGCCGTGTATCATTGCCCATTTTGCAATTTATGCCGTGTTGGGAGGGGTCTTGGTATTGATTATTTCCATTGCATGACTTGCAATTGTTGCCTGGGCATCAAGTTAGTGAACCACAAATGCTTGGAGAAAAGTTTAGAAACAAACTGCCCCATTTGTTGTGATTTCCTTTTCACATCAAGTGCGGCAGTCAGAGGTCTACCTTGTGGCCATTACATGCATTCTGCTTGCTTTCAGGTCTCTACAACTCGAAACTTGTGTTATTTATTTATTTATTTTTTCATCTATTCTTTTTAGTCTAAGTATTAAAGTCTATTCTTTTACGAAAAGCTTAAAATATTAGAATTTGATTTTCTACCTTCCTATAAAGAGAAAATTTGATTTATTTCTTTCTCAATATTTGTCAGGCATATACTTGTAGTCACTATACCTGTCCAATTTGCAGCAAGTCTTTAGGAGATATGGCGGTAAGAGAACTCTCTCTCTCTCTGTTGTAGACTTATTTATGATGTGTAGACCAATATTTTATTAATTCCATATTTATGTGGAATTTCATTGACAAATAACAGAAATTAGCAAGGATTTTAGGAAAATAAAATAGAATTAAGAGTGGAATGTTTGGTAAACAGTGAGATGAAGCAAAGTGACAAAATAAATTTTTTAAATATAGCAAATAGGGTTAATCCCACAAATGGTTTATGAGGTTTACCCTCAATCCCACTTTGGTTCCTGACTTTTAAAACGTCCTACAGTTGGTCCGTAAGGGTTGTATTTTGTTTCAGTTTCAGTCATTTTGTTAGCTAGGTGTTAGATATTTGACGCTATATGTCGAAATTAGGGACCGAAATTAGAAACATCTAGAGGTTAGGGACAAAACAATATAAAAAATAAAAGTTAATTTACATAGATAGTCTTTAAATTTTAGTTGTTTCCAATTTTGGTCGCTAATTTACACAGATTCCGTCAAATATTTAACACCTAATTAACGGAAGGACCGAAACTGAAACAAAATAAAACCTTAGGGACTAGCGTTTTAGAAGTCAGAGACTAAAATGGGATTGAGGGTAAACCTCAGGGACCATTTGTGGATCTAACCTAGCAAATAAGCTGCACGTCAGGTGTTAAAATAAGCTTTGATTATCAGAGTGAGCTCTAGTGTAATGGGCTTATGAGCTTTGTACGTGCTAATGTTGCAAAAATGACTGAAGTGATCAGATATATTTATAATTGCAAAATCGGTAGATTCACTCCAATGTCAGCCTTCCACACTTTGCTTGCTTTTCATTTTATTAATGATATGGTTGTTTTATTTTTATTGGATGATAGACATGAGTAGTGGACATACCGAATTTGGATTGAAGGTCTATATTTAGGCAGCCGAGTACTTTATTTATTTATTTATTTATTTTTATGTAAAGTACTTTATTTTTTACTCCCAAACACTTTTTATTCGTAGTAGGTAGAATTCTCATATATGGTTTGTACACAAAATCGTTTTTTATCATAGGGAGACGAGGGCTCCTTTTGTGCCATTTGTATCACCTGCTAGCTTGCTTGATTAAATTCCATAAGTTTTTTCTATTTCTGTTTGTTTCGATACCCATTTGATTGAACATCTTAAATTTACAAGTTAATCTTTTGTTTCCTAGAGATCCCTCCAATTTCTACCAACAAAAGTGGTATTGAATTTGGTAACTAGAAGATGCTGAAATATTTCTTAATTGAATAAGTTCAAATTAGTCCTGTAAATCACATCCCATGTAAGTACTAAGTAGGTGCATGATTTTTTCCCTCTTCCCGTTCTTATGAGTGTGGTTGTTTGATCTTACATAAACGTTGAGGACTTCATAACAGTTCTATGTTTCTTTGAGATGGTATCAAAAGTATCTTTATGCTGTTTTTGGAAATAGGAGCAACCCATGTCATATTGTGCCACATACTTTAGTCATACGTTTTGAGTTAAAACTATAAGCAAACGGTTGGCATCCCCCTATAGCCCCATGAAACCCCTTTGTAGTTTTGTGTTTTAAAATTTGGAGATCTATTTTTAGTACAGGTCCCACTGCCATCTGGTTTCTTCTTTATAACTTGGTCTACGATGGAATTCATCTCTCTCTCTCTTTTTTTTTTTTTTTTTTAATAAGAATGAAAATTTATCAATAAAAAAGAAGTAGAGAAATATAGGAAAACTGTCAGTGAACATGGTGAAACTTCATCATTATCAGAATTTTACTTTCAACTTGTCATTAGACATGGTAAACGTAAGTCTGAATTTCGTTAAAAGAGTGGAATATTTACATTTTACAGTGCCAATCATTTATTGATATGAAAATTGAAGAGTAGATTTCAAAAGGTTTTCTTTGCCACTAACAAGACCTTTGGTTAGCATTGTTAGAAAATGTGCACACAAAAAAAGTGGGGTTTATTAGAAGATGCATTATGTTCAATTATTCAGTGGTGGTGATAGCTACAAGTTGCATTAATTAGTGTTCAGTTCAATAACAGGCTCGTTTTGTGCCAAGTTGTGAGAGCACTATAAAATGGGTTTTGTGCTGGATGTCCGTTACATGCAGTCCCTTATTGATTTCTCTTCAGGTATATTTTGGCATGCTTGATGCCTTGCTGGCTGCAGAGGAACTTCCAGAGGAGTACAAGAACCGTTGTCAGGTTACCATCCATGCTCTCTCTATGTTCTAATTTTTTAGGCGCCCTTACTGTACTCTTTTTTTGCACTTTAAAACAATGTGCATTATTTCGGCTTGATGACTGCATAATTCCTGAAAAATATTATAGAAAACATTCAAATTAGTTAATAGTAAAGCAATTGGAAATTAACAAGTTTACTGTCACATCACTTGCCCAAAACACAGTAAACAAGTTGGTGCCTAATTGGAAAGAGGCTTTCTTTCCTCGTGTGGCTTCACCATTGGAACTCTTTTATCCTATGCGTGTGGCACTCTAGAGTCGGTTTCAGTTTCTTATTTCTCCACTTTCCTTCTTTCTTTTCCGTTCAGTTTAATGTCTTTACCTTAAACTTGACAATTTTTATAAGTATTGGCAATTCGCAGTCAAATCTGTATCATGTCTTCTTCTTTCTTCTTTTATTTTTTTCCCCTAAAAAAAGATTAGTATAATAATGATAAAAAAAGCACACACTTGAAGCATCATATCTGAGGCATCAGCTCGCCCAAATGGTCACTGCCATGGCTAACATCAGAATGTGAAGGGTGGCATTCAGTATCTGTTATCTCTTCTGACAATGGCCTCTTACGAAGACTGTTTAGTGATATGATTTCTTTGTTTCATACTTATGCCGACTGTTGTTTGGCTTCTCTTGGTGTTGCTTCTGCTTGTTATATCTGTTTTGCTCTCTTGGTTAGGGAATTACTTTTCCAATTTGGGGGAAGAAAAGAGAGAGAACTCGTATCTAAAGTATTTGCATGTTCATTCAGGAAATACTCTGTAATGATTGTGATCGGAAGGGCAGTGCACGCTTTCACTGGTTATATCACAAATGTGGGTCTTGTGGATCTTACAATACCCGAGTGATCAAGAGTGAGACGACAAATCCTGACTGCTCTACACCGCATTGACAGCAGATTATCGCCCTTTCTTTTATTTTATCTTTTACCTTCCCCCTTCACAGAGAATGTATACATATTATCTTGTAGATACTTGTATAGGAATTTCAGTTTTCCCTGCTAGGAAACTGGTCAGCCTCGCCGTTTCTTTCCCCTTGCATCTGATACGAGCTCGGGCACATCAATTTTACGGAAGTGCTTCAAAAATCATCTTTTTCAGGACATCAGGTTCGTTTATAACCTTTTAGATATAGAGGAATGGAGTACTGAAATGCGATCATGTACAGAATATGTTCTACTTTTTACAGTTGCGAGTGCGGCGAAATTTTTTCCCACTATAAGCTGAGTTTCTCCTTTCCCATGACCCATCATCTATAGTTCGACATAAACATTATTTACATCAACTTCAGATTTTCCCTTTAACGTTGTTTGCTCTCAAGTTGCTTTCCTTTCGTTTGTTTTGGCCCCTTTGTTCTCGGCTTTTCGCCGCATGTCACGGCCCGGTCTCTCAGAAGAAAACTGTTCAGCACTTGGCGCACACAGAATGCTAAATAAGCTCAACTCTACTCACACTTGAAAAGACATATAGCTATAGGCAAGTTTTGTTACTTTTCTGTCTGCAAGTGTAGTAGGCTGGACCAGTCTTTGCTATATCCTTTGGCTTGGAAATTTTTCCTGAGATGATACCACTTTTATGGAATCAGAAAAGGTGGCTATGAACTTATGAATACACTTGAAGCTTTTTACCATAGGATGAACTTACTGGTAAAATTTACAGAAACTAATGAAAGATTTGACGGTTTAAAATAATCTTTCCACTAGATTTATACTTTTATATATAAATATAACGAGTTTTTAATAATTACGTTACCTTCAAATATATACATGTCTTTATCAAATTTGCATTTAAATTTTAGGAAAGGAAACGTAACATATTTTGAAAGAGAATACTTGTTCGGCTTCTTTCATTCGTATGAAGGATTTTTCTTTCCTTTTTATTTTCCTTTTCATCGATGCACTACGAATTTATTAGTGTTTGGCAACTTAGACTCCTAATTTTTTTATCTCAAACTTTCTTTGTTACTATCTACATTCATTATTTGACATATAGAATTCACTATCTCATTTTTTATGTAAATAATAGGGAAAATTTTATTTTGGTACTTTGTTATATTGAAATTCTGGTCAACATATGAATTTTTATAATAAGAATAATTTTATCTTTAAGTATCCTAAAAAATGACTCCGAGATACTAAAAAAAGATTTTTTAAAAAGTCGAGATACCGACATAAATTTTTTTAAAAATAGAGGGTACCAAACAAATTTTGATATAACAGTAGGTATCAAAATGAATTTTTTTTTTTAATAATAATATATCATATTAATGAAGTACACGTGTCAAACATTTTTCCTTTAAGAGAAAGAACCTAAAATAAAAAAATCTAGTGCAATTATGGGTCAATAGCTAATGGATGTTGGATAATGAACGAGAAAGCCGTATGATTTTTGTGCTGATGCACCTGAAAATTTTGTTGGCTGGCAATTTGGGTTTTTAAATTTTTAACAACATATTAGATTAAGAAAGTTTCAAATAAATTAACAAAAGAATTGATAAAAAGCTAAAAGTTTAGAGCTTCGTGTCACTGATGGATAGTGAAAAAAGATTTCACTTGTTTTTAACCATTAAAGATTTGCCAACAGACTGCTATCTTATATGATCTGTCATTCACTATTTCCATCTCCAGCACACATTCGCCAAATCTTGTCATGCCAACATCACCATTCAAACAACATTAAGAACGTACAATTTGAATTGTTCAAACAGTGGACGGCATCTACTCAGCCTACTCAAATTTGGTGATCAAAATTTATATAAAAAGGTAACAAAGGAAAGCCACAAGACATGGTCCTTGTTTGAACCAATTAATTGAGCAGTAGAAACCAAAAAAAAAAAAAAAAAAAGAAGTTAATAAAGACAAGAAATATGTATTTGGGACTTGTTTTTCAAACCCACTCCCAATTGAAATAGACCTTCATATTTGTCTAGTATGTTTCACACTTCTTACAAGAAAAGTTAGAATTTTTAATTTTGCAATTACAAAAAAAAATAAAAATAAAAAAAGTAGAAACGACAAGTCATTCAAAAGTAGATATTGACATATTTGCATGAACAGTTTTAAAAAAATAGAAAAAAGAAGCAATCTTTAGATTAAGAAAGGCATCCCTGAAAAAAAATGGAGAAATATCAAAAAGAGAACAAGAATGGGACAAACCCTGTATTATCGGTACCTGTTTCTGTGTCTCCTAAGCTTGTGACATGTGAATAATGCATGAACCTTCCAAGCCCTTCTAAGTCTATGCAAATTTTTTTTTTTTTTGATTGTTTCGCTATACAGTAATTTGCACTAATTCATTTTAGCTCATCAAATACTTCCCACTTCTTTTTTTTTTTCTCCTTCTCAAATGAAAAACTTTTTCCATGACATACGATCCAACTTCAAACTAAAGAAAGAACATGAATCCAAGAAAAATATGAACCAAAGAAGATAATTATGGAGTTCATTTCCAACAAAGGAAACAACTAGTACTCACTTCTTGCTCTTTCTATCTTTGCCATGCTGCAAAAAGGAGCCTAAACCAAAGAGCTTTGCAGTTCCTTTGGGAATGTAAGGAGGTGGTACATTAATGACAGGAATGATCCGAACACTATTTCCATAAGACCCTCCATAGTTCTTCTTCAATGGCGGCTTTTGCTGCACCGAATATGGATTCGAGATCGAAGACGAAGACGACGACGACGACCTTGAAATCAAAGGCTGCTTCTGCCAATTGCTGTTCTTATTGTGAACTTCCTTATAAGAATTCCTCTTCTGAATTGGCACAGAACCAGTTGAATTGCTTCTTGACAATAGTGGTAATGAGCAGAGAAGACTAGTCCTTTTGTTCTCACAATTCAAACTGCTACTTCTCTTGAAAGATCCCCAAAAGGACTTGGACTGAGGCTTGTTGGTCTGCCCCACCAAATGGTCAGGACACACAACTGTGGTTTCCTTATGCGTTTCTCTCTTCGAATTCTCGGCGTAATTAGGGAGAGGAGGAAGGGAATTTTGATCTCTTTCTTGTTTTGTTTCTTTTGAAGGTGCAAAATTCGAGTTGACCCTCTCCCGGGGTCGAATCGGAAGGATTATTCCATGAGAGAAAAGCTCATCTGCTGAGGAAGATTCATGTTGTGAGCAGCTACTAATGCTGAATTCAAAGTCACAATTCATGTCCAAAAGTGATGTGTCTCTTCTTCTGTGATCTTGAAGTGGCCTAACATCTGTTTGGCCAAGATCACTGGAGAAGGATAGTCTTGGTGGGCTAGTTTCTGAGCACATAATTCAGAAAAACCCCAGATGAAAAACTGGCACAAAGAAAGAAGATTGAATTTATTTTTGTGAAGACAACGGAGATATGATATTTGCTTTTTGGAAGAGAAAAGGATGAGAAAGAACTAGCACGATTCAAGGATGTGATATGGAGTTTGGTTGGGAAAAGTTTAAGGAAAGTTCTTCAAATATGATGGCTAAGAAGAAGGAGAAAAATTTGAGGCACTTTAAAATGAGATGATTGTGGGACTTGAAAGTCAACAAAGAGGTACAAAGAGTTAGTTGAATCTTCAGGGAAACAAACAGGACAACAAGAGTAGTAGCTTTGCTCTCTCTCTCTCTCCTTTGAACTTCCAACTGTGACCTGAAACTGATTCTGAAAAAATCCAAGGATCAGATGGTTAAATAACGCCTTATGGAAATGAGGCAAAATAAGAAGGACAAAAAAAAAAAAAAAAAAAAAAAAAAAAAAAAAAAAAAAAAAAAAAAAAAAGGTCCCTCTATTATTGTTTTGAGAAGACAAACAAAAAGAGAGGGAGGAGGGTAAAAAATGGACTCAATCAAAAAGAAAATGTGCTGGTTTTTTATGTTAGGCTGGTTTTTGGGCAAAGGACGATGAGAATATGAAACTCTCTCTGAGCATAGTTATGGAGAGAGAATTCTTAACGTGACCAAGCTCCAAAACTCACCATCACAAGAGGCAAAGGAAAACTGCACAGCAAGAAAGGACTACAACAACAGTTTAATAAGAATAGTTCTAAAGATAAAGATTTGTATGCTATAAGTGTTTGTGACTTGATCATTTGTAATCTTGTTTTCCGGGAATTGTAGAATATTTCTTTATCTATAAAATATAGAGTATATGCCACCATATTCTTAAAAAAAAAAAAAAAAAAGTTTCTATATCCATGTAGTAGACTTTTGAGGTTGCCATCCTAAATACTGAAGGAGCATTTTCTTATTTTTGTAAGGCTTGTTTGTTTTATACTTTTAAACTCATAATTTTGATTTTATTATAATGTTTTTTTCTCATAAAAAAAATTAAATTTTAAATGTTGAAATCAAGAATCACTGATTTCAACTCATGAACCGAACGGGCCTTTAAATTTTCTCCTTAAAGTCTTTTAGAAAAGTAAATTAAGGGAACATAACATTTTCCTGTATTTAAATTTGAAAACTCACACAATTTTTTTTTTTTTTTGAAGAATTCCATAAAATGTATTAAGAAAAAAACCTCTACTGGACTAAACATATAACAAGTTAGTGGAATATATGAAAATCAAGTAGTTTAAAATTGTATCTACCAATCCGTGATTTACCCATTTTTTTAGTTTTTATTTTAAAATTTATTTATTTTTGTTCTTATCTACATTTTATGTTGGTTGTATTTGGTCTAGTAACAATTCATCTGTTTGAGACTCCTAATAATTGTTGGCAATTATCAGACCACATGTCATCATGAATTTCACTTCATGTAACACAAAGTATATCTTTCTTCACCTTAGGGTTCAAGCCAAGGGAAAATCCATTCAGAAATTTTCTAAGTGCCCAATGTCCCACTCCTCTGAGAATTGAGAAGCTCTTTTATTAATGAGTACTTTTTGTAGCAGAAAAAGGATATCCTTTCTTTGCCCTTTTGTGTGTATTCTTGTATATTATTGGAGGTAACTTGAATTGTAAATGGATACCTTATCTTAGTAGCTTTTTTAATGTGCAAATGAAAATTCCTGTCTGATTCGTTGAAACGTTCCTTTAAAATTGATTTTGAGTAAATTACATTTGCTACACAACCATGACATCTATCTACTTGATGAGATTTTTTGTCACCAAGTTGTGTAAGAGTCTCAAGTTCGACCATTCCTTGGTCAAGGATTGATAAACGAGCCAATAACCATGTCACAACTAGTTTTTTTGCCCTATGGAAATAATAATAAAAAAAAATGAATGACAGCACTAAATTACGTCAAGATTAAAACTAAGGAATACTTTAATTGGCCTTTACAAAAAAATTAGCTTAGTCAAATTATACGACAAGTGTTAAACATTTGAGACCTTGTACAAGTCACACCGCTTGACACTTTCTTGAGCCTTGAATAATATAATACTAAAAATGATCCTTTGTTGTAGAGACCCCTTAACAAACATGTGATTATAGTGAAAATTTTTTATTATAGTAAAAAAATTTAAATGTAATTATTTTTTAAAATTTTTTATTATAATAAAATTTGAATTTTAAATTTAAATTGTTAAAATAAACGGGTAATTAGTTGACTTTTCTATGCATCGCATGATAAATTATTTGCACGGTGCTCAAGAAAATGTGGGTGTTACGGTAGTTATGGCTCAAACATCTTTGGACAAGTCATTTCAAATACAGAAAATTTCTAAAGTACTCTTTTCTTGAGGTTGGTTGAAGATTCATCTAAGAAAATATTTGGTGCATAAAATTGTGGTATGGAGCATCAGTGTACATGATTTGAAAATTTTGTGTCATAAAATCTTAATCATTGATTCTGACATGTTCCATCACAGGGTAATTTTGATAAATATTTTTTAAAAGTATATGAATTATGATTTTTATTTTTTATTCTTGATTTATAATCTTTTTAATTAAATAATTACACTAATAAAAAAATATTTATCAAGAGTTAGAAGTTAAGATCCAGACTCATATACTCTTAAAGATAAATTATCCAATTTTTCTCCATCTTCTTAGATGAAAGAAACCCACCAACAAACCAAATCTAATCCGCATCCACTGTTCAAAACACAATTTTAAACTAAATGTTTATTACAGGTGTTTGATAGAGAGGCAGTAGCCAATAAGATACAATGATAGAATAGTTCCACTAATACAAATAAATAACACTTTATTAAAAAAAAAAACCTAAAGTCATTAAATTAGTAAAACATGGATTATTTTACTAATTGGACTATTTCCTTGAATCTCTGCGTGATAATTGCCAACTTTCTTGCCCTAATATGGTACTTAACTTTTACCTTTATTTGGAAGGGATCCTACTAAGCTTTTCCTAAAATATATTTAATTGGTAAAACCGTTCAGGTGAAAGTACATCCTAACATTTGAAATGAACCATTCAGTCACAAGAAACAAATCTTAGTGGCCAAAAAAAAAAAGTTAACGACTTTCATTAAGTTTTTTTTACGCACTATTCTACTACTGAGAAAGATTGTAATCAACGAAAGATTAGTGCATCCATAAGTGGATGTATGCAAAGAATTCTTGCCGAACCACTATGAATTTCTATATTCTTTATTTTCCTGCAACCATAATCATTGATTAATCCATGAGAAACGTCTGTGAGTGTTCCTGGAGAGTTAATCTTTAGTTGACTAAATTTTACCGTCAACAATTGGTGCTAGAAAGAGGGCCCCAAACCCATATATCGAATCTAGCAAAAAGCAGTGAATATGCCTCCGAGAAAGACTCGCATCATGATGGCCAATCAGAAAAGCCAGGAAGGCCATAATCCTGCCATTGAAGGGAAGAATTCGACGAATCCACCCAACGAAAACCAGGAACCGACGGGAGTACGGCCCAATCGTAGGGCGAACCCACCGGCCGTTGGAAACCCCCCAGATCGCCTTGATTTGCTTCAAAGACAGGTTGAAACGCTCACTGTGCCTGTAGAAAGGATGGCTACAGCCTTCACCGAATGGGATCAAAGGCCAAATTTGATGCCGTCGCTGGAGGATAAGTCGATGAACCCAGTGAACGCCTCCATCAGGAATTAAGTGATTGGCGAACAACGCGGTGACGCTGAGGGGGTCGATGACAGTGGGGCCAACAATAACCCCCGTCTAGCCAAGTTGAATAGGTTTGTGGGGAGCAGACAACGGGCTGCCAGGAAAAGAGCCCAAAAGAGGGCTACAGCCTAGACAGTGAATAACAGAGAGGTGTCTCCCTGACGAAAACATAAACCGGAGAAACGCTGTTCCGGTGGAATCTTCATCCGTACGCGGCGGAGACCTAAGAGAGCAGATGAATGCTCGACGCGATCATGATATGCAACGGACCAAGGAGGAAGAGCTCGCGACCGAGAATAAGGTTTTGGCTGTGAAGATGGCGATACTGGAAAAGCAGATAGGGAGTCAGCTAAACAACTTTGAGCAAGTTGTTGGAAAGGTGGCCGAGGCCGTACATGTCGACGCCAATATGTACACGTCTCACGACCACTTATTCACAGAGAACATCATTCAGGTGCCGCTGCTCGATAAGTATAAGCCACCCCTCATTCTGCTATATGATGGAAGGAGTCCTCTGGACGACCACTTGGAAGTCTACACAGGGCACATGGTCCTTCATGGGTATCCCGAGGAAATCATGTGTCGGGCGTTCAGAAACCATCTTTCTGACTCTGCAAGAAGGTGGTTCAGGTCCCTAAAACCAAACTCCATTACCAGCTGGGATGACTTGAAGAACAGCTTCCTGGCTCAGTTCACAGGTGTCAAAAAGTACATCACACCCAAGCAAAACCTTTCAAGGGTTTACCAGGGGCCAAATAAGTCCCTGAAAGATTGGATAGTCCGATTCGGGGACCAGGTGGCTGCCACCAAGGGTATCTCTAACGAGGTGGCTTTGATGGGGGCCCTGTCGAGCATGAAAAAGGACACCCTATATAGCACAGACCTCGACCGAAAGCTGCCACAGACCTACCAATAATTCTTGACAAGAGCACCACCGCTCAAATCTGACCCGACGCGAAGAAATCAGAGCAAATATTGCAGAATTCATGGTGAAAGCGGACATACGACTGCCGAATGCTTTGATCTGAGGGACGCAGTTGAAAGATTGATCCGAGAATGGAGGCTCAATGAATACCGGGCTGACCGATAGAGCAATAACAATCGGTGAAACAATGACCGACGGGAAGATCAAAGGTAAGACAATCCGCCCGAACCTGTCAGCGTGATATGAATAATCTTTAGAGGGCCATATATCGGCGGTACTTCTCACTACGCACAAAAGAAGTACGCAAGGGAAGCAAAGGAAAAGTTTCACTGGAGAGTCATGAGTGTGTCCGGTCGAGAAATGAAGGCTGCAAGATATGAAGAGGCCGAAATAACATTTTCAGAGGCAGACGATAACGGCATGCATTTCCCTCAGAATGACGTTCTTGTTGTTGAAGCCATGATCAGTAATCACACGGTTTGCCACATCCTGGTTGATAACGGTAGTTAGGTAGGCATTTTGTACACCGATTGCCTCGACAAGATGGGGATATGCCGAACGAGACTGCAAAGTAAGACACAATCCCTGTATGGTTTCACTGGGGATTGTGTCATCCCTGAAGGGATAATATAACTACCGATGACAATTGGTGACCGACCACACACCTCGAGCATGATGGTGAAATTTTTGGTGGTGAAGGGAGGTGACCAGCATAATGCAGTCATTGGGCGGCCAACGCTGAGAGGTCTAAAAGCCATAATGTCAATCTATCATTAGATGTTGAAGTTTCTAACCCCCAACGGGATTGGAAAAGTAAGAGGAAATTAGTATGAGTCTAGGATTACGTATTCAGAGATGGTCCGCCACTACGCTGAACCGGGACAGGCGAGAAGGGAGATGAGGATGGTGGTGACCAGGGCAGAGGAAGTCAATCTAGATCGAAGACTCCCAGGCGAAGAGATAGGGACGGGACCGGTCGAGGAATTGATTGAGGTCCCCATTGATGAGAATGAGCCGACAACAAAGTTGAGAATAGGCCCAGAACTTGAGGAACAAAGTCGGGAAGGACTGATAAAATTTCTCAGAAGCAACCTCGATGTGTTTGCTTGGACTCATGATGACATGGAGGGGATAAGACCGAACGTAA